AGTAAAAGATGAACAAAGGAAGAAACTAAAAAAAAAATCATGGTATGCATATATACATTACGAGAACCCCTTCTCAATTGTTCAAGTTTGATTTGTAACCCGGGATTTTGAGTTTGATTTTGATCAGTTAATTCACCAACAATAATAAGAAATCTGATCCAAAACCACATCATTGATGCAACATACAAAGATACCCAAGTCATCCACGCGAAATATTGTATCTTAAAAAATCTGTCCGCATTTATAAAATCGCTCATATCAGCGTAATAACCTGTTAATGCGGGCACAATTAAAAAAATGCCAAGCGTTGTTATAAAGGCAAGAATACAAACGATGTCGATTCTTACGGCGTGTCTCGCTATGGGTATCTCTGATATTGCACTAGACGTCGATATTGGACGTGATGCGAAATTTGTTACTTCAAAAGTTGATGTCGAATAAACTGAATAATCGAGAGGAGAAAATATTTAGAGTCGGGTTAAGGTCATTGTTCGAGAGATTTATGAAATGTCAATAGTTACATATACTCAATGGATATAATATTGCAATAGTAGCTGATAGTGTCATAGGCAGTGAATGACCAATTTCTGCCCAAAGTATGTTCGGATAAGAATTCGTCAATAATAATATCGAGTGAAGCATCTGAACTATAAATAGCCAAGCAAAGTATTTCAATTAATAACATAATGGTAAAAGTAAAAATAAATCCCTTCAATCTGCGCAAATCCTTACGTGGACAATAAATCATGGCTATAGTAAAATAAGTATGTTGTGGTCTAGGTCTCAACTTTCCCCTATCTCTTCTCGAAGTAAGAAAGAATGGTTGATTTTTCTTTTTAATTAAATGCCATAAACATACTGCTGCTGTTGCACCTATGAGAGCACAATATGGTAATAATACCCATTGTGAAATTACTAAAATTGATGATTCTGGACAGTCATTAATATTTATTCGAAAATCACAGGAACATATAGGTATTTGTGCGTTACTTGGATTGGAAGGAATTTCTGTGTCGGAAAGTTTTTTGCAGGCTATTGAAAAAGGCGTGTTTAGTCTCATGTGTGTTTGGAGAATAACAGGATAAGTGTATTAAGGATTAATTTCGCTACACGGTAGCGAGAAATTATCGAACAAATTTTTTTTTTTTTTTTAAAAAAAATCGATCGAATGGTATTTACTAGAAAAATAAATAAGAAAAAAAGGTTATCAACAAAATATATATCAACGCGCAATAATTAAACTTGATGGTATTGCATCTACAATTCATAAGGAGAAACCTCCCGCCTTTTTTCAGATGGACTTCATTAAGTAAACAATTTGTCTTGTCATGAACTAGCAAACTATTAATAATTATTAAAGATAGTAGTCGAGCGTAAGTTATTTTAATCTCGTAGAAAAAAAATTTTTTTTTTCGATTCTTGAACGAAATCGAACATTCAAATCTTTTTAACTGAAAATTCACTGAAAATAAATACAAATAAATAGAAATTTGTGTTTATTCTAAAATTCGATTTAAAAAGGTATACAACTTTCTTTTATAGTCTAATAAATAAACTTTATAAATGTTATCGACTAATGAAAGCATCAAATAAAAACGTTTGTTTACATTGATAACTAATGTGGTGCGCCCATAAGTTTTATTCTGGTGCTTCTTTATCTTGTGTCTTACTAAATTTTAATAGTTCCGTGTGTAACCTTTTATTCGATTCAAATTTTTTTCAGTTCAGGTACGTTATTTTGTCTTCAATCCCGTGCATATATTTTGTTGAGAAGGATTATGTGTCAAACGACTAATTCAATGCAAGGATTTAAATTTTGTACAATTGTGTAAAATAAAAAATAAAAATAAAGTAAAATAAAAATAACATCTATTTGATCACGCCGATTTATTGAAAAACTTCTTTTCTTTTTTTTTGTGATACAAATGTTTGTATAAAAACTGAATTATTTTCTTAACTTTGGCTCAAAAATGTATTCATTCGCTGTATCCGGATAACCTTTACGTTTCGACGATTTCATTCGTTGTAAAATAAAAGGAAATTTTTCAGGTGATATAAAAAAAAAATATTATCAACGTTTTGCCGCAGCAACAAAGTTGATCGACCGAATTTAACGAGTATATTAGTCACCCTTCGTATTACAAAATTTATTGTGTGCAATCATGCGTACTTAAATGGAAATTATATAATGAACAAACATTGTCACAAAAGATATTGCGTCGGTTGGTGATTTTTTTGCTATTTATTTGCCAAGCTTTTCCCTAATTTTTTGCAGATGGGTACAGGGTTACGATCATAATTCTGACCAATTGATTTTCCTGATTATTAACGCATTAATTTTGAAACATTAATTCGTTGCTAATGCTCTGTGTTATATTAAGTATCATCATATAAATCTAAAAAAAAAAAAAAATAAAAATAAATCGGTACCATCGGTTTTTTGAAAAAATTCAAATTGATAAGCGCGATACTTTGTAGATCAGAAGTGTCTAACTTTAAAAAAAAACTTTATTTACTTATTTTTATTTTTTTTTGATGTCTCTTTTAAATTCCCCATTAATATCTTATAAATAAACAAATAATTCTTTAAATGGTTCTCCCGCTCGTAAAAAAATTCCCGGCCCGTTCAAAACAAATATCAAATATTTATTAGTTAAATATATGGAGTGTGATTTCTTTTCTTTATAATTAATTGAAAAGTAGGGGGATTCTGTGACAAATTCATTAAAAAAAAATATATATTGTTCGTTTGATGAAACAATATCTACAAATATTACCATCTATTAATAAATTTCGGATGACTTTTTCATTTTACGAAATTAATTATTGGATGTTCATTGTGTAGCTCTTTTGGTGACTAAGATCGGAAAATTTATTTGTTGAATATTATATAATTAAAAACAAGTAGCACATAAGGTTTGGAATTGCTCCCATTGAAGTTTATATTAGACATAATGTGAATTTGATTTTCCTTTTCTTTAACCTCCTTGCAGTTTTATAAAAATGTGATCAATAATTTTAAATAAAACGTACCGTTTATTTTTAGCAATTCGGATCTGCATTTCAATACCTCTGCTTTTATAAATCTGAAATAGAAGAATCTTATAATACCTTTTCCTTAAAATTATCTACCATTTCGGCCCTTCTATAATGACGTAAGGTTATGATTGACATTTCGTGGAGAGTAAGGGTTATTTTATAAAATCTATACTTTTGAAAAAAAAATAAATTAAATCCGAGAATCAGTCGTGTTCCGGTGCATTTTTCATGTTTGGATTTGCCAGAACTTGCGAACCATTTCAGGAACGTTTCTCATTGAAAAGAAAAACTTCCGAAGCATTTCTTTAAGTACACTATAATAATTCGAACCTGATATGAAAAACTTTAATGACGGATCAAGAATAGTTTAAAGTAGGGTTCGTACGAGGTTTTTTGGGTAAGTTTAGTATAATCGTAGTTATTTAGTAGATAATTAGTAGTTTGTTAACCTACAGTTGGAATAGAATAAAATAGTAATTTTGATCTGATCGTTGCGGATTTTTTATTATTTATGATGTAAATTTATTCTTGGTATCGGAAAAAAAAAAAAAAAAAAAAATATTGAAGTCTTAATTAGTCTACAGGATGTTAATAATCGTACAGCCAAAACTCTTGATTTAAATTTACTCATTTACAATAAATTCAAATAAGTAATAGAATCTTTGCGATCTGAAATTCTAATTTAAAAAAAAAAAAACATGACTAACTTTTAATCGAACTCTTTTTTTTTTTTTTGCTTGAATATTTAAAATAAATCAATATTATTTCGAAAAAAAAAAAAAAAAAAATGAAATTCAGCTAGTTATAAATACAATGGTAAAAATATTTTTTTTTTGAATAAATATAAATAACCCACTAACAAAATATTGGTAAGATAATAACAATTTTTTTATATGCTTATCATTATTGTACTATCAAAATCTAATTTCTAAATGTCTTTATCAATGCCCCTTTTTGAATGGGATTTTTTTTTTTCGGATTTATTTGTGAGGTTTAATATCGTTTAATTTGATATCCAAATTGTTCAAGTTCATTATCTACTTTATTCATGGGTGGCATTTGAGATTACTTTCACTCATGTGGAGCAAGTTGGAAGTGTATAGGTCCTTTTGAACTTTTTGTTGAAAAAATCCAACCATGGGGGTATCAGATCAAGAAAAATTTATTTCATGGAAATAAATTCTTTAGTAAATAAATGAGAAAATTTTCGGAATTTTTGACTTACGATGCTAGTTACAAAACAAAAAACGTTAATACTAGTAAATTTGTTTTAAAGTGTGTGTCTTTGTGTTATTAGGAACTTTATTGCAGTTGTGTGTTAGTTTTTTAAACATTAAAGAACACCCTCTCGGTCATAGACCTCGAAGTCAATTTTTTTAACAAAAACTTTTATCCCAGAAAAAAAAAAATATTACAAAGATAAATTTGATGAAATTTTATTTTGTAATATATAATAATATTAAGATGTTCCTGAACATCATTTTTTTTCTTTGCTAATAATGTAAGTCGAACCGAACCTAAAACTAAGTTAACAACAAAATATTTCCCATTTTATTTTTTTTTTTTTATTAAAAAAAAATTTTTTTCGATTATTTTAAATGTATTTTTTTATCTAGGGAAGTGGTTGCTATTCAACAATAAAAAGTGAATTTAATGAATATTTTACAACAAAAAAAAAAAAAATTCACATGACAACTAGATAATTGTAGTCCAGAGACCGACGTCACGATTCTAAATCTTATGTTACCATGGTGCTACAACTTCAGTAAATTGGGATACCTAGGATTTTTCCTTACATCACGATTTAAAACCCATCTCTCTTGGGATCGATCGAGAAACCCTACATCCAATCACTGGAACTTTTCTCCACTTCAATCTTCAAAGATCAAAGTAACTAAACCAAGATCTGCACTAAGACAATTTTTAACGAAACCTACAAGCCTACCTACTCTTTTAAGGCTTCATTTATATCTTAAAGGTAAGGTATAGGTATTACGCTTGAGAGTGCCATCCATTTTCAAGGCTAGTTCATTCGTCTGGTGAGTTGTTACACACTCCTTAGCGGATTCTAACTTCCATGGCCACCTTCTGCTATCTAGATGTGCAAACACCTTGTGTAATCTAAATGGGCGTAAGTTTGGCATCCCGCATTGACAGTACTGCTTTCCAAAAATTGGCACACAGAAACACTCATTCAAAAGTTCAATTAAGTAATATTTAAAGTTTGAGAATAGGTTAAGGCTGTTTCAACCCAGTCATAAAACTATTTATCGAGTTTCTGCTATCCAGAGGGAAACTTCGGATGGAAAAAGTTGATGGTTCGATTAGACTTTCGCAAATTTGACGATCGATTTGCCGTCTGAACTCCAATCAGATTTTCATCTAGCTTCGACTTGTTTCGGGTTCTAGCAGATACGCTCTTACTACTCAAAACCATTTTCATGCACCCAAAAGCTTCAGGAGTTTCTATACAAATTTTCATTTCGCAATAAGCTAGGATAAATCACTCTTTAACCGTATCTATTTCTTAACATCCTGCAAATTCCGTAATGAATCACCATTTTGTATTTTTGACTATTTATAATAGGAATGGTTGAATATTGAATTTTTAGTCAATATGGAACATATTTTATAATTGTCGGGAGCTCGGAAGCTTTCTCATTTTAAAAAGAAAATCTATCTCTCCCCCCTCTTAGAATTACACAACCGACGCTTCCTACCAATGTCGTGATCGCTTTGAGAATATTGGCTATGGTAATTCTACCTTTTCTGAAATTTGTTTGTTCTTAAATTTACTTGTTGAGAATTATGATGATAAAAAAAAATTTTTTCGCATACATTTGAACATTTCATACCCCAATACTGCATCGTATATTCTTTAATCGTTCTAAACTATTATCCCAGCAATTGAAGATTTCGCTGGTCGGAAATAAAGTTCGCCCATTTGATATGCAAATTTGTATTTGAATAATAATTTAGTAATTCATGAATATTTCTCGTGTTACTACCAATGTTTATCTTTCATTAAATATATTGATTCTCTTTAAATTTACATTAATAAGAAAATGAAGTAAAACTTCGTGAAGTAATAATAGGTTTCTTCATTGCGTAAAAATTTCGTCAGGAAGAAAAAGCAATTTTGTAGAGAGCGGGAAGTTTACGAAATAAGTTATTAATTAACGTGAATATATAGCTCAACTGAATGAACATTATTTATTTATTTATTTTTTTTTTTTTTTTTTTAAAAAAAAAAAAAATCGTGGGTAAAAGGAGGGGCGATCTTTGTTTGTGGCTCACTCATTATTGTTGATTATCATGAGATATTGCGTCAAAGATCGACAAAAAGAATGACCTATTTTTTTTTTAAAAATTACACGTGCATTACATCCTCTTTGAGTTTTATTTTTTTATGGAGGTCGTTCTCTTTTTTTTTTTTTTTTTTTTATATTAAAAGGTTTTTTCTTTTTACAAATTACACTTAATCAACAATTATTATTACACTCCTGATCCACTTTACAATTTTTTGGAGTTAATTTTGATCCGAAGCAGGAATTTGTTGAAAGAATAAATATTTATAAAAATTTTTGCTATTTTTAGAAAATAAAACAAAATGAAATGATTCTAGTAAACCATCGATTATGTGATCAAAGAAAATTTATATTATAATTAGTCCGAATCTCAAAACTTGATTAATAAATGCATGGTTCTTACAAAGTCATTCGCAGATACAAAGAAACTTTATCTGATATTTGGAATAACTTCTTTAAAAAGTTCAGAATTAAACCTTTAATTTCATATTTAAAAAATCAAAGCAATTTTAATTTATTAATTTCAAAACAATGCAAAGATTTTAGCTTGTAATTGTAACAACAAATATTATTTAACAAGATCTTCACTTTTTTAATTAAAACTCATCATGTTATTTAGAAGTTTAATTGCCATTACACAGTATGTTAACATATAGACTTGACGCGTCAGACGTGTAAATATTGATTTATATTACATATATTTACTCGCATCAAATTTTATAATACGATTATAGACATATATTTCAAAATCGAAGAGTATATATAAAGTACAATAATAAAAGAATAAATTTAAGTAATAATCGTAAGAATAATATGAAAAAATAAAAATAAAAATATTATGCTTGGAACTTTTGATTTTTAAGCTCATTGAGAATCCCTTCAATGGAACTCAAATTGACCTTCAATTTCTCAACTTCTTGAATTAACTTCCCAATATCTACCTGATCTTTTCTTGATGTATCATCTGACTTCCCGACATCTACCTGACCTTCATCATTTGCAAGGATTATTTCGGCAGACTTTCCCTTTTTATCGTCCCCATTTTTATTTTTAAATTTCCAAATTGAATATTCATCATAAGTTGATCTTTTAAAAGCATTTTTAATAAATGTGGGTGGCTCTTCAAAATCCTTGTAAATGGCATCTTGATCGTCTTTTCTAATTTTATGCCAATTTTCAAAATTTATTGACTGACCGATGTAATAAATATATTTTGGATCTGGTTCTTGAGGCCAAAGATGGAAGTGACATAAAGCTTCATAATCTGCTATTTGGTTTGCCCTATACCTTAATAAAGCTTGTCTACCTTTAGTTACTGCTTCTTTATAAACACCACTAGAGTCGACACGAAATAAATAAATAAAAATGTCAAATAAACAATTTTAACCATAAATTATAAAAACCTACCCCATGAAAGCAATCAACATATTTTGTAAAATAATCACAATAAATATGCTAGCCATAAAAGTAAATACTTTGACAACCCAAGAATCAAATAGACCCCTTTGAACATAATCACCATTAATCCAAAAATATGCAGCTTCTATTGAAGTTGAAAAGAAAGCAAAAGGATTATCATTCAGATCTGTAGAATTAAAATCCGATTTGAGGTTAATTAAAAGTATTTCTTTAGTTGAATTATTTATGGCATATCCACTAATTGTAGAATTCTTTGTTCTAATCCCTGATAGATTTGGATCTTTAAGCAATAAAAACCTATATACGATTTAAATAATAAAATTAATCCAAATTAAATAAAACAAAAACCAAACCATTAAGAAAGATTCATACATTGTATGTGCAAATGCAAAAATTACAATCAATATAAATATTAGAAAAGGAAGTATTGATTGGATAATTATGATAACATAATAAATATATGTAGCAATTCCTGTGAAGTAAAAAATATATACATATTATTTGCAAAATTTCAGTGATAAAAAGCATTTATTTTTTTTTATAACATTTTTTCTTCTGTTCTTACTTGATATTAGATGAAGATATAAAATCTAGAATTTAATAAAAATTTTTAATTAAATTGATAAAATATTTTAGTGAAAGTTATGAAATACTTACAGTTTCAATCCAAATTATTAGCATTGAGAAAGATATTCCAACAACTATTTCTTTCTTAACGTTTTCAGAGCCATTGGAAAAATGAAATGTGTCAACAAGTAATATTGTGATCACTATTACTGGTATTATAACTGAAAATAGATCAAAATCATTAGTATAGAACAAAAATATCTTCTACATCCACGATAATGTATTCGAATTACTTCGGTGATTAACAGATGAATTGCCAAACAATAGAATATGACAATTAACGTTACTAAAAATTTTTGAAGCTCTATACTATCAATATTTTTGTTCATATATTCCCAACTAATATATCCAAAACAAATTCCGAAAAAAAGAAATCGAAGAAAATGAATGAAAATATAATTTTTGGTCTTATTCCATCGAAAATCAATAACTGCCTCAATTGCTGGATTATTAAACATATCATCACAATTTTCATATTGAACAACTCTTGAAAACGGACTTAATAAATTTTTTTCATTTCGATTAATTTTATACAACCGTGGTCCGATCAAGAAGCAAATAATGTTTAAAATAATTTTCCCGACGGTATACTCTGCTTCTTTCTTCTCAATTTTATGCACAGTAAATTCAGGAAGTGGTACTACTCGCAAAGCTAATGGTGGTTTACCATGATCATTATCAAAGTTTTCAAACCATCCAGCTATATTGTTTTTAATCTTATTAGTGTAATTATAAAGTGTATTCTCTTTATCACATTGCAGATTGACTATAGGTCTAAATGATCTGAATTTAGCATCATTATTACGCCTTGCCAAATATTCTTCTGGAATGATTTCATAAGGATCTTGTGCTACAAAATAATTCTGATCCGCAAAGCAATCTTTATGAAATAATTTTCTGGCATAATTATCTATTATCAATAAATTTTAAAAAAAATTAAATTCAATAATTTTTTGAATAATAAAATAAAACAAGGAATATAAATCAAACCATAATTGTATTTGTATAATAGAGGAAGTGCTTTAGAAACAGTAACCATCCAACCAACATGATCTTTGGCATGGCTGGAATAATATTCCAAAAGATAAGCAACGATTATTGTATCCTTTTGCTCATGGTCTATAAATTGGTAAAATTTTAATATAATATATGCAATAAGCTTAATAAGATTAAAAGTCGAAAATTTACCTCTACAATGATAAATTGCCAATTCCATATCATTTTCTGGCACTATGTTCTCGTGATCTTCAAATCCTTTATTTCTGTTAAAAGGAATTATATCATCATCCTTTACATATTTATTTTTTTTCTGCCAAGATATCCTTCTTGGTATATGTTTGATTTGAAAATTTTCCACTTCCTTCTCTTTCTCATTATCGTTTGAATTATTTCCAAATAGAATAAACTTAATTAATTGATCGCAATCACCAAGGATTAAATTTTTCATAACATTATGTCGAACATCAAGTAATCTGTATTGATCTGGTTTATGTATAATATATCTCCAGATTATATGATTAATATACATAACCATCTCTTCATACTTTTTAAATAAAAGAAGATTTTTAATTTTTAATTCTTTTTTTTTTTTAAAAAAAAAAAATAATTAATTAATTGAATACATTGCTTACTTTATATACTTTATCGTAATTTACAAAAGACTTTATAGATTTGGCACGCTTATTAAGGTGTTCTAATGCTTTACATGCATATCTTACTCCATTCATATTTTCATTAATATCATTCCACTCGATCGTTTTTATTTTCAACTCCTTTCCCTTAATTTTTTTCATTGCTTTCATATTTTCTTCCGTATTTCCCTCACCAACTTCCACACTTAAATCATTTTCATACCAGTAAATTTCCAAAAAAAAATATTTCGACCCGAATAGATTCTTTTTAATTCGTAATCTATTTTCTTTACTTTCTTGATTTATTGGAATTCCGTTTGTCCAAATTAATTCTAGAAATGGATTTCCTTCATTGGGAAGTTTCTCTTTCTCTTTGCCTTTATCTTTTGGATCTGAAAGGAATTTATGCCAGATTTGAACGGTAGATCTTCCAATTATAAGTTGCAAAACCTCTATTTCATCATTACTGAGATAAAAAGATATCTTGTCATAATTATCCATTACCCATGGTTCTGATTCACTAATTAATGGCTTGAACTTAGCTTCATCATAATCCTCATAAAAGAAGAAAGTATGCTTTTCCGAAGCTTCCTTCCTAAGTGTGAGATTCTTTTCAATTTCTGAAGTATATTCTACTAAATTTAAATCATCATTTTCTTTCTTCGATTTCTTCCTTAATTCATTATCAACCATCTTAAGCACTGAGGTAACTTTTCCTTTATCATCAACCTGCAGAAGATTTCCTGAAGTTCTAGCCAAGTGAGTTATTTCACATAATGAAAATGGTTTATCCATATCAGTATTATACAAATCCCAGATAATGATTTTTTGATTTTTTTCTTCATCACTGCAAACTAAAAGTAATTTTTCATCGCTATCAATGAATTCTATTAAATGTATTTTTTTAATTTTCTCAAATAATTTACACGAGATCTCCAAACCGCTTTCCATAAAATATATTCTGATAAAGGTTAAAAAAAACATAAATTATTGGAATAAGCAAATACGTGAATGTTTACATGTCAACTGTCCACTTACCTGATAGATTGACCTCGAGCAAAACACAGTTGCAATTTTTGCTTATCAATTGAATAAGTATACTTGCTGTACTTATTTATATGCTTCTCCATACTTTCGGTTCTCTTAATGTTGATCTCTAATCTCATCTCTACCAGGTCAAATACTAAAATATAGATTTTGTTAATAAAAATTCGATATATAAATAGATTTTTTATTATTATTATTTACCTTCAAGAAATTGTACGTTGTTTTTATAATATTCGACCAAAAAATATTTATCATAGATACACGAAAGAAGACGATCCATGCAATCCGGTATACCTTCATCTGCATACCAATCCTTTAATTCTTCCTCGAAAATCTTTGGATAGCAAAATCTCTCATTATTATTAAAACATCTACCGCCCACATTATATTCAAAGTTATATATTCCATTAATGTTCATTACAATGAATCTTTTCAAGATATAATCACCATTGTCTTCTGATTTAACATCTTCTACAAATCTACAAATTCCCGACAAATGTTTCAAATGATAAGCTCGAATAAAATTAGTGTCAATTTCATAACGATCGTTTAATCTAAGACAATAAATTGCAGTTCCTTCATCAAGAAATTTCACAGAAACACTTTCTTGTGATGTGCTGCAGTTAGTTTTTTTCATTTGCACCTCCACATTAATTTTCTTATATTTCACACATGTCGTATCTTTCCTTTCTTTCTTTTTCATATCTTTTTCAACGTCTATGCGGGATACTGCAACAAAAATAAAACTTCCAACACGATACTTTCTTATGCTAGATATATCCAATGACCATCTAAATTTTTTGTTTTCCTCGATCGGAACATTATCTGATCTTTCTCGGACATTTCCGAAGTTATTAAAAGTTAAATCATAATTTATTTTAAAAGAAGTTATAGTTTTATTGATTACATCGGTTACATCGGTTTCATTTTGTTTTAAATGAGTTTTCTGTTTCTTGTAATCTCGGTAACCTGTATTTTCCAAAACTTTAACCAAATAATTTACTAAAATTGAGTAATATTGAACGTTCATTACAGACCAAAAAAAAAAAAATGGATTTTTTTTTAATTTGAATGATTTGTCATTAAAATACAGAAATACTTGGAAGTTGTTAAGAAAAAATTACCAGAATCGAACGTAACAGCGAATTTCCCATCTCGACTAATCGCGATTTGATGTTGGTATTTAGAAACTGTTGTGGCATTATCGTTATTCCTTTGTATGCGTCTTAATATTATGTAGATATATATCACATTTTTGAGTAAATTTATTTTTTTTTTGGTAGTGATTTCCCTTTCCATTTTTGTTTGAAGTATTTTTTTTTGTCTGAAAATTATATAGGTAAATATAGTAGTACAAATGAATAAAATCTCGTCATCGTCATTATCATTTCGGCCTGAATTATGAGAAATTAACAATAATGCGGGCCAGATTTGTGGTTTAACCGGTTATAGAATTCGTGAATGTCCTTTTTTCTTGTAACACGGGAATGTAAAATGAATTCAAATTTGTGCTAAAGCAATATATAGGTAAACAAAATGTTTGGATAAATCATTGTTGTTCTTATAAATGAAGTTCTTTATTTAGAAAATTTTTCGTCATTGATATGTTCAGTTAAAAAAGAATTATAGTTAAAACAATTATAGTCTGTCTAAAAAGGTAAGTGGTTTATCTTCAATGACCTTTGAAACATTTCCGAAATTCATTATTTATTTTAAGTATTACCATATTTTATTGTTATTTTGGCGTATTATATTTCGTCAAAAAATAATAATAGTATAAAAAAAGTCACTCATAATCTCAATTCCTTTTTTTGCTTGAATCGTTTGTACTTCCTTCTTTGATAAGAAAGTTTATATTTTTCCAATCTTTTTTGCCCCAATTTAATTGTCTATTTCGATTGATTGTTTCGAATGTATTACTTTCACAAATAATTAGTTAAAAAAAAAAAAAGTCGCAGCAAAACAATATTACGCAACCAAAAATTTTAATTACGTAATTATCTTTTGTGTCAGTATTTATGGATAAAATCAAATTTCGGTATTCGAATAACTAAGCGTGTTGGAAATCTTACGTGAGGCAAAAATTTAGTCGTTTCTCGTTGATGTGATAAATAGTAAATTTCGAACGGAAAGCTACGAAAATTACATTCATTTACTTCATATGAATCATTAATACTCTTTTATAAAAATTTTAGATAATAATATCATTTTAACCAATTTTATTGGACCGTTTATTTAATACTACTTGTTTCAAAATGTAAAGTTAATTTGAAGATAAACTTATCACAAATAATTAAAAATATTTTTATCATTTTTATTACGATTTTCCAAAATTTCGCTTTAAACAGAAAAGTCAAATATATCACAGCAAGAATTGACGTAAATATGCATATCAACTTTTAATTTTTGTGTTAAAGGCTCAAATTCTATATTTGTTTCCATCTTTATTATTGGATAACATGTCATTATCATTAATTTAAGTAATTATTAAATATTTAAAAAAAATAAATAAAAAAAAATTCAGTTTAGACAAATTTCTCGGTTACGATTAGCCCTGCGGCGACATGTTTATATTGAAAAACTATATTATCAATATTGTCATGTCCATAGGTTTGTTTTTTTTTTTTTTTTTTTTTTGATAAAAGGGACGTCTTTTCACTTGAAGAATTTAATGGATAATGTTTACGATATTCACTTAAATTTAATTGAAATTTTTTTTATTTGCTGCGCCTCTAATACTATGCAATTCACACCAATATAAAAAAAAATATATAAAAAATTATGTCAAGTGTTGTGACTGAAGTTGGTCTGATTGAGATTCCAATTTCAAACACTTTTTGTTATCTGAATTTCAACTTCAGACAACTTAACTGATTTAAAATTTTATATGTTCTCGGCATTTATTTATTAAATTTTATAGCATTTAAATTTTATAATAATATTTATTTATTTTTTTTTATTTTTTCTTAATTTTCGATTTTTCTTTATTTTAAGGATTTATTTTTCTTATTTCTTTCTTTTTATTTATCATTTTTTTCTTTTATATTTTTAGGATTTTTGATCACATTCGGGCTGCTGCTTAATGTAAGTTTTTCTTTTCTATTTTTATAATTATAATGTAAGCTTTTTTTATTTCATTTATAATTTTTTGAATCAATTGAAAGTTTCATTTTAATTTTTAATAATTTTTTTTTTTTTAATTTTTTCTATTTCTTTTTAACTTTTTTAATTTCGATTTTATTTTCATTCAGGTTTTCGGCAAATAAGTTAGTTCTTTTTTTAAGTTTATTTTTTTACTCTTTTTTTTTAGTTTTATTTTATTTTCATGCAGGCTTTTTAACCGCATCGGGTGCTGCGTCAGTTAAATAAGTGATTGTATTCATTTTCGTTTTCATCTTTTTTTTCATATTTTTTTTTACCCTTCAAACCGAAAAAATAATCATTCATTTAGAAGATCATGCTAAACACATTCACTTTTTTTCTTTTTAATTCTTTTAAAAAGCAGGAATTAAATAGAAAAGGAACTCCACCTTTACGAGTTAACTGTATAATTATTCTACTTTGAAGCTGAGTGACGAATTTTAAAATAAAATTACTTAACTTTATAAATATTTTCAAATTTTAATTAAAGAGAAAAGGAATCGTTAATTTTTTTTATAGTAGTCAAGAAAAATAAATAAAAGAAACAGTTAAAAAGATCATAAAAATTTTATTAATTGCTTATGTACATTAAGTATATGTAGATAATAGATTCTTCATTTTAATTTATAAATATATAATTTGCACATAAAATTCAAATTCTATCTGAAGTACAATTTCAGATATCTCGATTACAGATGGCTTTGTATCTGTAATTCAGATTAAAACTCAAAATAAGTACTAAAATAAAAAAAAAAGATTAATAAGTATTCTTTAGCTTAAATGTAGGGTTGGATCATTCCGGTCTTAGATTGGTTCTGTGAACCATCAAATTTTTATTAATGTTACACCTAGTTATTAATAAATGATCATTGATAATCAAAATCAATTCCCGAATATTCAAAATCATTTCGGATATCGAATTGATTTTGAATATTCAGAAACCCTGATTATGCAACTGTGTTGATATCTATTGCATTTATTTTTTTGTAGCACAAAAGCATGGTACCAGCTTTTTTGATTACAATTGTGTGAATATTATTTAGATAAATGTATTACAAAAGTTGCGGATGAACTTCAGTTTTAAGAATTGTTCAACTTGGATTCTTCAAAAACGATCAAAATAAGTAATGTGTTTTAAAATATATTCAAGCAATAGATAACAACAGTTGGGTACGACTCAGAATAGAAAGTGAATTTTTGTAGAATTATTGTTCAACATGTAGTGAAATATTTTCAGAAAAAATATGATTCGCGCATTGTGGTGCAGAGTTTGATTATCTTCAAAAAAATATCTTGCTCCTCTTTTCTTCCTTCGAATTATATCGTTTCTGCGGGGATAACTTTTTAGTTGCTTTTTCTTTTAGCAACCGGTGGTTCTTTCCTTCACAATTTAAATCTTCTTGATCATTTTCATTTTTACTTATACTATTTTAATAGAATAAGGTAATATTCGTGATCGTTAAAGTGAATTTCTATATTAAGAATAATTCTAGTTTTCGAAATGAGTTACCTTATCTTTAAATTGGATTCATTTAATATTCATATTTAGTTTCAAATATTTGAATATTCGTACTATAGCTTTAATTTTCTTTGACATTTTTTTTTTTTTTTATTATCAAAAAGTTTAATTAAAACGAAATAGAATGACGACCAAATTTGGTACGGTTTGTGTCACAATAAGCCATCCAATAAATTTATCGAACTTAAAAATGAAATAAAATTTTTTTTAGTGCCTATATTTAAAATAT